AATGGGTCTAGTTAACCAAGAGCCAGTGCTTTTCGCCACATCGATAAAGGAGAACATATTATTTGGTAAAGAGGACGCATCCATGGATGAGGTAGTGGAAGCTGCCAAGGCTTCAAATGCACATAATTTCATATCTCAATTCCCCAATAGTTACCAAACTCAGGTTATATTCCTATTTTTTTTGAACTTCTGTCGTTTTTTTTTTTAGTTTTATGATGAGGACATATATTTGCTCTTTGTGTTAAAAAAATAAAGGTTGGGGAAAGAGGAGTACAATTATCAGGAGGCCAAAAGCAGAGGATTGCAATTGCACGAGCAATAATTAAATCACCAATAATTCTCCTTTTAGATGAGGCAACAAGCGCATTGGACTCAGAATCCGAAAGGGTGGTCCAAGAAGCCTTAGACAATGCCTCTGTTGGCCGTACAACTATTGTGATTGCCCACCGCCTCTCTACTATTCGTAATGCGGATGTTATTTGTGTAGTCCATAATGGTCGCATTATAGAAACTGGATCACACGAAGAACTCTTGGAGAAGATAGATGGTCAATACACCTCTCTAGTCCGTTTACAACAAATGGAGAATGAAGAATCAGATCGTAACATCAATGTAAGTGTAGAAGAGGGCCGAGTATTGAGTTTAAGCAATGATTTGAAGTATAGCCCAAAAGAGTTTATTCATAGCACGAGCTCAAGAAATGTTAGAGAATTTTCTGATTTGATTCTTAAGGATAGGAAGTCACCGGTGCCATCTTTTAAAAGATTGATGGCAATGAATAGACCCGAATGGAAACATGCATTATATGGTTGCTTAGGTGCAGCTCTATTTGGGGCCGTACAACCAATTTACGCATATTCTACAGGGTCAATGATATCAGTGTATTTCCTAACTAACCATGATCAGATCAAAGAGAAAACCAGGATCTATGTGTTGTTATTTATCGGTCTAGCTTTGTTCACTTTCTTGTCCAACATCAGTCAACATTATAGTTTTGCGTACATGGGCGAATACCTAACAAAACGTATCCGAGAACACATGCTTGGGAAGATACTAACGTTTGAAATCAATTGGTTCGACAAAGATGAGAATTCGAGTGGTGCAATTTGCTCAAGACTAGCAAAAGATGCTAATGTGGTATTTCTTCTGCCTTTCTAATTTGAACTTCAATATTGAATAATCTTTTCTTATCTATTTATTGACTTGTAATGGTTTGTTATGATAGGTGAGATCGTTGGTTGGTGATCGGATGTCATTGCTTGTACAGTCTATATCGGCAGTGAGCATCACTTGTGCAATTGGTTTGGTCATCTCTTGGCGATTCTCCATCGTGATGATTTCGGTGCAGCCAGTGATTGTCGTGTGCTTCTACACTCAACGCGTTCTGCTCAAGAGAATGTCGAGAAATGCCAACAACGCCCAAGATGAAAGCAGTAAACTATCTGCAGAAGCTATCTCAAATATTCGAACCATCACAGCTTTCTCGTCACAAGAACGGATCATTAACTTACTTAAAATGGTCCAAGAAGGTCCACGGAAAGATAGCGCCCGCCAATCGTGGTTAGCAGGAATTATGTTGGGGACATCACAAAGCCTTATAACATGCGTTTCGGCTTTGAATTTCGGGTATGGTGGTAGACTAATTGCTGATGGAAAGATGAAGGCAAAAGCATTCTTAGAGATATTTTTAATTTTTGCTAGTACGGGTCGGGTTATTGCCGAAGCTGGGACCATGACGAAAGATCTAGTCAAGGGATCAGATGCGGTTGCGTCAGTGTTTGCAGTATTAGATCGCAACACAACCATTGAGCCGGAGAACCCAGACGGATACGTCCCAAAAAAAGTAAAGGGACAAATAAGATTTCTCAATGTGGACTTTGCTTACCCAACACGGCCTGATGTGATTATATTTCGGAACTTCTCCATTGAAATCCAAGATGGTAAGTCGACAGCGATCGTCGGTCCAAGCGGGTCAGGTAAATCCACAATAATTAGCTTGATCGAGCGGTTCTACGACCCGTTAAGAGGTATTGTTAAAATCGATGGTCGTGATATAAGGTCGTATCATTTGAGGTCACTTCGTCAACACATAGCTTTGGTTAGCCAAGAGCCAACATTATTTGCTGGGACAATACGAGAGAATATCATGTACGGAGGAGCATCTAACAAGATCGATGAGTCGGAGGTTATCGAAGCAGCAAAGGCAGCCAACGCTCATGATTTTATCACATCACTATCTGACGGCTATGACACGTACTGCGGGGACAGGGGAGTGCAATTGTCTGGTGGTCAAAAACAGAGAATCGCGATTGCTCGAGCGGTTCTAAAGAACCCATCAGTGTTGCTCCTTGATGAAGCTACAAGCGCTTTGGACAGCCAATCGGAACGCGTGGTGCAAGACGCGCTTGAGCGTTTGATGGTTGGGAGGACAAGCGTTGTGATCGCTCATAGGCTTAGCACGATCCAGAACTGTGACACAATCGCTGTTTTAGACAAAGGAGAAGTTGTCGAATGTGGAAACCACTCGTCTTTATTGGCAAAGGGTCCAACGGGAGTTTATTTCTCACTGGTCAGTCTTCAGAGAACTCTCTGTTGAACTTGAAGGTTAGATGTGTATCAATACGTCTCTTTGCCTAAAACATGAAGCACGTTTCCATATAGTTGTATTCTTTCAAATCCTGATATATTTGATGAAAACAAGTGACGTAAAGAAATAGGAAAGTTATTGGTTCCATGATCATCTATAAGACAATGTGATTCATTGGTTCAGATTATGAATGATAACACAATTTAGGACACAAAATAAATCCGTAATTTCCGCAATTCTTTAATAAAACTTGAAACAATAATTCTCACGAAAATTTAGATTCCATTATTTTGTTTCAAAAACCATGAGGATAAATATGTATAACATGAAAAAATCATAATGACATCCCAATACTTGAATTTAAGCAATTTGAATTCTCTATAGTAGAAAGAACTATTTGGATCCAAACAATTGATCAGCTACATCATTTGTACTTCCCTCATGATTTAGGGGTGGGCATTTTAACCATTGTAACATATTAGCTTGGGGAAAAGGAGATGGCTTCTGGACTAGTTTATGTTATAATAAAGTTAGATCTATTTTATGTAGTTTAGAATTTTGTGGTTAGATTCATTTGTGACACAAAATATCAATTATACTTTTTCATATATAAATCTATTTATCGATATATCTAAGATTCTAATCCTTTTCACAAATATAAATACATACAAAAATATATAAGATATATTGATACAATAATATATAATTATGTTACCTATGTGGTTTGAAACTTGTCTAACTTTATTCTAAACAAACAATTCCTTCTTTCATACTCTGTCCTGATATAGTACTCAAGCCACGCACATCATGATAGGTTCATGATTAAATACTAAATTGACATAATTTGAAAAACATATGTATAACTAACTATTCTTTTGCTTCAAGAGTTCCTGATATAGTACTCCAACCACACACATCATGATAGGCTCATGATTAAATAATAAATTGACATAATTTGAATAACATATGTATAAATAACTATTCATTTTCTTCAAGATTTTTCTTATGAAAAAAAAACAAAACGAAAACAAAAAATTGAAGAGTCATTTAAGTCAATATCTTTAATTCTATCCCCATGCATTTGCATATAGCCATATAGGAGAGATTGACGTGTTTTAAATTCCTTAGTATGTCTAACGTCTCAAAGGTCTCTTACTTGAAAAACCTTGATGGTTATTGTCAATATTACTAACTTCCCATAATGCACAAAAATGAAAAGAAAAAAGGTCATATAATCATATGTGGACCACAAAACATAAGAACGTGTTAGGTACCAAAAAGTTGAATTGTAAATTTTCAGTCATTGTCGAGAAATAATCAATGATAAAAAATTAGTAAAAAAAGAAGAGAATAATAAAAGTAATGTTGATACATTAATATGATTTTTATTTTATTTTGAAGAAATCAATTAAGAATGGTATTGATAGAAGATTTAATGCAATGGATGACTTTTGAGTTTTTACTTAATTCTGTTATTTTTTATTTAAATAATGTAAAAAGACACATTTTTTTTTATGTGATGATGTAGCACTCATATGGAGAGAGTTAACCAATTTTCATAGAAATGATTCATCATGTGTCAAATTGTTTTACAAAAATTTAAAAAATCATTCCCACCCCAAATTGTAGATTATATCGACGAATACCCAAACCTCTACCTCCCCCCTTTTTTTCCCTTTTTTTTCTCATGGAAACCCTTTTCCGATCCAGTCTCATTGGTGTCTTTCCTTAGCGTCGGGGAGTGCTCACGAGGATAAATCTTTTGCTTGTATTTCGGACTAAGTGTGATTCTGATGATGTGATAGGGTTCCGGATAAACCTTTTGCTTGTATTTCAGTTGCTAGAGTACGTATCTATGCTTTCTAGTTATTCTCGAAAACACAATGCTCTTTCAAGAACAAATCTCAAATTCTAACTGAACATTATCAACTGTAGACTAAACTCATTTACATATTTTTGCAATAAAATGAATAATATTTTTTTAATAAGTCCTTTGCAAAAAGATTGATGAAACTATTTCTTTGATATTGTTTAGATTTGTGAATAATGTTATAGAGAGGAATTGAAAAAGCCATGTGAGTTTGTATTGTACGATGCATCTATTATTGTAGTTGTAGTGATCAGTACTAAATCAATATTGATGTTATATAATTATTCCCTAAGACATTACGTAAAGACAGCTAACGTCAATGATAATAAATGACATGTATGATTAAACAATATTTTTGTTTCTAAATTATCGGAATGGTCTTTAATTAATTGTATGCCTTGGTAGCCGGTACGTCAATCGTTGGCAAAAATCTCTAAAAACTCTGAAGAATAATCGATCGAGTAAAATATTCAAACGGTCGAGTAAAAATCGAAAACTGCCGAGAAAAAACTCGAATCCTCGGTAGACGGTAGCCATATTGTCATTCGTTTGTTCACGTTACTTTAAATTTTTTAATATATGTGGTTTTGGTCCGAATCTACTTTCAGAACAAGGATCCGGTAAATCTTAGTTCTTCGATTTGAACAAGGCTTATAATGAACTACTTTTTTTTTTTTTTGTTAAAGGACTTGGCTTAGTGAACTAACTACGTACAATGATCTTTTGTAATATCTAACATCTTTACGTTATGACCAAATTTTCAATATATCTAATTGAATGCTAAACGCTTTTACAATAGTACATTAATTGTCTTTACGTATGACACAAACTGTGGTATTTGGTGGTATTATACAAATGTTATAAGAGCTTTTAATATATATTAAAAGGCCTACGGTCTCCCTCTGTCCCGGCTGCTATATAAAACTGCAGGTTGTCGTTTCCCAAAGGTCAATGTGTCGTTTTGGTCTCTCTCTCTTTCTAAACAAAAGAGAAAAATGGGTAAAGAAGGTGAAAAAGAGAGTGGGAGGGACAAGATGAAGAGTTTTGGAAGCATAAGATCGATATGCATGCACGCGGATGGTGTAGATTGGATATTGATGGCATTAGGCTTAATTGGAGCCGTCGGTGATGGCTTCATCACTCCTGTTGTAGTTTTTATCTTCAACACGCTACTGAACAACCTTGGTACTTCCTCTTCCAATAATCAAACCTTCATGCAAACAATCTCCAAGGTATTTTCTCTCTCTTCTCATGTGGTCTTTAATTTCTGTTTTTTTTTTTTTGTTCTCGCTTTATTTTGTTAGTAGACATGACAAAGTAGACCAAACATGGCATGATACTTAACTTCTTTGGCCTCATTGGTTTATTCATCCGGATGTGCATCTAGATCTAGCATCTTTATTAAAATATCATCATTAGATGTAGTAGACGACAAGAAAAACAAGGAATCAACCTTGAAAAAAAAAATTCATAAGGAAAGAACACTAACGTTTTATTTCTTTTTGCACATTGGGTAATTAACAGAATGTTGTAGCTTTGCTTTACGTCGCTTGTGGATCTTGGGTGATATGTTTCCTTGGTAAGTCTTTATAGATCATGTTTCTTTAAACATATTTTTGTTCATATAACAAAAGTTTTGTATTTTGTGGATGGGTTTAATATGTAAAACAGAAGGATATTGTTGGACAAGAACAGGGGAGAGACAAACATCAAGAATGAGAGAAAAGTACTTAAGGGCAGTGTTAAGACAAGATGTGGGTTACTTTGATCTTCATGTTACAAGCACTTCTGATGTTATCACCAGTGTCTCTAGTGACAGCCTCGTCATCCAAGACTTCCTCAGTGAAAAGGTCTCAACTTTGCATCTCTATATATCGTTTTAATAGTTTTTTTAAAAACCATTTTTTAATGATTTTGATTTTAAGCAGTTACCAAACTTTTTGATGAATGCATCTGCGTTTGTCGCAAGCTATATAGTGGGTTTCATCTTGCTATGGAGACTCACAATCGTAGGTTTCCCATTCATCATCCTCCTTTTGATCCCTGGACTAATGTATGGACGAGCCCTCGTTAGCATCTCAAGGAAGATTCGCGAGCAGTACAACGACGCTGGTTCTATAGCCGAGCAGGCTATCTCATCAGTTCGAACAATCTATGCATTTGGTAGTGAGAACAGAATGATAGGGAAGTTCTCAACTGCACTTAAAGGGTCGGTGAAGCTAGGGTTGAGACAAGGGCTAGCTAAAGGAATTGCTATTGGGAGCAATGGTGTCACTCATGCTATTTGGGGATTCTTAACTTGGTACGGAAGTCGGCTGGTTATGAACCATGGCTCTAAAGGCGGTACTGTCTTCGTAGTCATTAGTTGCATCACATATGGCGGCATGTAAGTAATTATGTTTAGTGCTCTTTGGTTTTCTTGACACGAACGAAACCATTGTGTTGTCTTAACCTTTGGTATCTTACATTTTTCAGACAACTTGGTCAGAGTTTATCAAATCTCAAATATTTCTCAGAGGCATTTGTAGCATGGGAACGAATTTTAGAAGTGATAAAAAGAGTCCCTGATATAGATTCAGAAAAATTGGAAGGTCAGATTCTGGAGAGGATTGAAGGATATGTGGAATTCAACCACGTGAAGTTCAACTACATGTCTAGACCTGAAACCCCTATCTTTGACGATTTATGTCTGAAAATTCCATCAGGGAAAACTGTGGCTTTGGTGGGCGGAAGTGGATCGGGAAAATCGACCATTATATCGCTTTTACAGAGGTTCTATGACCCGATCGCAGGAGATATTCTCATTGATGGTGTGTCCATTAATAAGATGCAGGTGAAATGGTTGAGATCACAAATGGGTCTTGTTAGCCAAGAGCCAGTACTCTTTGCCACATCTATAACAGAGAACATATTATTTGGTAAAGAAGATGCATCGATGGATGAAGTAGTGGAAGCTGCCAAAACCTCAAACGCTCATACTTTTATTTCTGAGTTCCCTCTTGGTTACAAAACTCAGGTTATATTCCTAAGAACATAATGATTATAGTTTATTTTCCCTTTATTTATATCTTTCAAAGATGATGGTAAAAACGTATGTTTTGCTTTTCAAAATAAAAAAAAAAAGGTCGGGGAGAGGGGAGTGCAAATGTCGGGAGGCCAGAAGCAAAGGATCGCAATTGCACGAGCGCTAATTAAATCACCGATAATTCTCCTTCTAGACGAGGCAACAAGTGCTCTGGACTCCGAATCCGAAAGGGTAGTCCAAGAAGCCTTAGATAATATCTCTATTGGCCGTACTACTATCGTTATTGCCCACCGCCTCTCTACTCTTCGTAATGCTGATGTTATCTGTGTAATCCAAAATGGTCACATTGTCGAAACCGGGTCGCACGAAGAGCTCCTGGAGAGGATAGATGGGCATTACTCTTCGCTAGTCCGCTTACAACAAATGAAGAATGAAGAATCAGATGTTAACATCAATGCAAGTGTGAAAAAGGGCAAAGTCTTGATTTTAAGCAACGACTTTAAGTATAGTCAACACAACTCTCTTAGTAGCACAAGCTCAAGCATTGTTACGAATCTTTCTCATTCGATTCCTAACGATAATAAGCCGCTTGTGCCATCATTTAAGAGATTGATGGCAATGAATAGGCCAGAGTGGAAACATGCATTATGTGGTTGCTTAAGTGCAGCTTTATTTGGGATCATACAACCAATTTCTGCATATTCCGCGGGATCAGTGATATCAGTGTTTTTCCTAATGAGCCATGACGAGATCAAGGAGAAAACAAGGATATATGTGTTGTTATTTGTTGGTTTAGCTATATTCTCTTTCTTAGTCAATATTAGTCAACATTACAGTTTTGCATACATGGGTGAATACCTAACAAAGCGTATTCGAGAACAAATGCTCTCAAAGATATTGACGTTTGAAGTCAATTGGTTCGATATAGATGATAACTCAAGTGGTTCAATTTGCTCCAGGCTAGCAAAAGATGCTAACGTGGTATGTCTTCTATTTTGTATTTATTTGCTCCAGAGAGGATGGTAAACGAAGACGATCGTCAGATACCGCCAGCCGGAGGAGGGAACCCTAATGCTCTGAACCCTCAGAATCCTCAAGCCGATCCGACAATCTTAGCAGCCCTAGCCGAACTGAAGGATATGATGGTTAAATTCCAGAAGAAAGCTGACGATCAAGAGAAAGCTAACAAAACCTTGGCGCAGCGAGTCGACGAAATCGCAACACGTGGGCAACAAAAAACCACGCGTTTCCAGACTCGGCCGCCACGAGCTCGGAGGGACTTGCCTGGCATCAACCCAACGAGACTCACGTTCGCGACACCAACCGGCAACACCGGAGTCGCAACCCGAGCCGACCCTGCCAGATGCGAGAACCAAGATGATCCCACCGAGCCAGACGCAGTGGACTTGACGGACGAGCCAGATGATCTGCAAGATGAGCGTACCCGAGCCGGAGCTAACTCCGCCGAGCGAACAGATCTCACTGACGATGAAGAAACTGAGGAGAACGTAAGATGGGCCGAAGAATCCGAAAGGGAGGACGAGCTCAGCAAGATCCGAGCCTCCCTAGCCAAGGCGGAAGCTGATATGAAGCTCGTCAAAACCCAGATACATAGCGTTTCATCCTCTGCACCAAACATCGACCGAATTTTAGAAGAATCTCGGAATACGCCCTTCACCAAAAGAATTTCCGAAACGACGATGTCCAATCTGGGGAAGTTCAAAATCGACTCCTACAACGGATCAACCGACCCGAAGTGTCACATTAAATCTTTCGTGATATCCGTAGCCCGAGCCAGGTTCAAGCCCGGGGAGAAGGATGCAGGTCTATGCTTGCTGTTCGTGGAACACCTCAAAGGACCCGCATTAGAGTGGTTTTCTAAATTGGAACGAAACTCGATTGACAGTTTCGACGAGCTGTCGACACTATTCCTCAAACAATACTCCGTCCTCATCGACCCCGGAACCTCCGATGCGGATCTGTGGTCCCTATCTCAACAGCCCACCGAACCGTTGAGAGATTTCCTCACAACCTTCAAATCGACGCTAGCCAAGGTCGAAGGAATTACAGATGTAGCCGCTCTTTCGGCTTTGAAGAAAGCTCTCTGGTACAAGTCAGAATTCAGAAAAGAGCTGAACCTATCCAAACCTACTACAATTCGCGACGCGCTGCACCGAGCCTCAGATTTCGTCGCCTACGAAGAAGAAATGGAGCTACTAGCGAAGAGACACGAGCCGACAAAGCAAGCATCCCGAACCGAGAAAGCCCAAACAGGACTGCAGAGCCAGAAGAAGCCGGATCAGAGTGAAACGTACACGCACCACGAGGGGCACGATTTCTCAGGAGCCCACAACTATCAAGTCGACGTAGGCCGTGGGCAAGGAAGAGATTCATTCACTTGGAAAAGATGTCAACCCCTAGGTGACGAAAAAGAATACTGCGAGCATCACAAGACCATCGGGCATCACACTTCCAGATGCAGGAGCCTCGGAGCAATATTAGCGGCCAAATTTCTAGCCGGAGAGCTTGGGACGAACATAACCCTCAAAGACCTACAGCCAGAACAAGTTCAGCCCGAACAGGTGGACACAGCAAGGGGTCCCGAGCCAAGGGAGCCAGAGGCTCCGAAGAGAGTCCGGGGAACACCCGACGAGGAGCGTGACGGAACACGACAAAGAATCTACATGATAATGGGAGGATCAGCGTTTTGCCCCGACACCGTAGCCGCGATCAAAGCCTATCAGAGACGAGCCAAAGCGACCGATGAGCCTGAGGTGGAGATGACGAATCCTAACCCCATTGCCGTCACAATTGGTTCCGAGGAGGCCGAGACTATCCCAGTTGTGGAAACACCTCAGGAAATACTACCGCTAAAAACCTAAGGTACGCATAAGCTTGAACTACGGGGTGGCTTGATCCCCGAAAAGGGTACGTAGGCAGCTCGTCCTCGGACGAGTTCAGCTACCTCCCCTTATCAAAAAGGGGGGGGGGAGAGTGGGGTCCGTATATCCATACTCCCACTCAAACTTTATCAATTATATGTTTCCTATACTCCTATTCAAATTTTATCAAACTATATTTCTAAGTATACACTTCGGGTTTTACTAAACCTACCTCGGTCTTTACCCCGAAACTCGCCTCGGGAAATCAACACGGTCTAAACTCCGTTCTGTTCGTTTGGGCGATGGCCACGCCCGCGAACTAAATTCATCTACACCTCCACGGTTACAGCGCGCTATATAAGCATTCGAGACAATCTGGTCGAAGATATCCGACCAAAGATGAAATTGTCTTCAGAAACCCCAGTAAAATCTTAACACTGGTGCCCCAGTTCGCTTCTAAGCACTGGTTATCGATTGAATCGAATCGGGTCGCGACCGTGAACGTTCAAATCTTTCTGCTAAAACCCAGTTTATCTTAACACTGGTACCTATCTTTCGCTCCGGCTACTAAAACCCAGTTTATCTTAACACTGGTATCTATCTTTCGCTCCGGCTACATAAATTCTTTTTTACTTAGGACAAAAAGATGTTTTGATACGGAAACTATTCAAAATCATTGTATTCTCTTCGAAGACAAGGATCTTTGAAAATAGCGTTTGTATTTACTTTGCAAAAATACAACGACAAAGTCATCCATGCACAATCTTACACTACAACCAAAAAGGAAGAAAAAGGACGGTTCTAAGAGTGCCGCCTCAGGTTCACTGGCGACTCGAAGCAGAAGTTAACAGCTCGGTCGACTCATTCATGAAGCTCGTCACACTTGCTCCCAAGTCAACGAGCTGGGGGGCTAACTGTTGGGGTCGGATTTCACCCATCCTTTGAGACCGAGCCAAACTTCAACACCTCGGGTTATCCTGCTAGTCAGCTCGGGTACCCTGCCAGTCAGTCTGCCAGTCAGCTCGGGTATCCTGCCAGTCAGTCTGCCAGTCAGCTCGGGTACCCTGCCAGTCAGTCTGCCAGTCAGCTCGGGTACCCTGCCAGTCAGTCTGCCAGTCAGCTCGGGTACCTTGCCAGTCAGTCTGCCAGTCAGCTCGGGTACCCTGCCAGTCAGTCTGCCAGTCAGCTCGGGTACCCTGCCAGTCAGTCTGCCAGTCAGCTCGGGTACCTTGCCAGTCAGTCTGCCAGTCAGCTCGGGGTACACAGTCAGCTCGGGGTACACTGCCGAGCCTTATACTGCAGTTACCCCGAGGCAAAGTCTCAGTGCTACCCGAGGTGAAATGTGTATTGTTCCCGAGGCGAAGTCTGCAAAGTCACCCGAGGCGAAGTCTTTAGTGTCACCCGAGGCAAAGTCTTCAGAGTGACCCGAGGCGAAGTCTTCATCATCACCCGAGGCAAAGACTTGATAAATATTCATCTTCAAAGTATCATTTCCAAACAAGGCATCATTTCCGAAGGGTCATTTCCGATAAACCCGGAAATGATAAAGGAGAATCACGAAGGATCAACTTAAATCAGGAAATCTTCCAAAAAACTCCGAAGAATAAGGAAATTATCCTGATCCGCGATATTCTACACCGACTTCAAGATAAATGGAAATCTTCCGAGAATATATCGCTGGAGAGGCGGTTTATCACCCCTATATAAAGAGACTCAAGGCTCTCACAGAGGGGGAAGCAATATCGCTCTAGAAATTACACTACGCAAAGCTCTCATAGCACAAACACCTTTTTCTTTTACGATCAAACTCTTGTACGATCAAAATCATCTTTTCATTAATAATATCAAGAACACCATCTTTGGTATCAATCGTTTCTGTTGTTCTTTGAGAATTCACGATTATCGTATCCCTAAAATAAAACCCTAGACAAATCTTGATTGTGTTAGTTTCGACTTCCACAATAAACAGTATTTTTAACATTTCTTGATATCTTAATGTTTTTGTGATAGGTGAGATCAATGGTTGGTGATCGAATGTCATTGCTGGTACAAACCATATCGGCAGTGAGCGTAGCTTGCATAATTGGTTTGGTCATTGCTTGGCGATTAGCCATCGTGCTGATTTCAGTACAGCCACTAATTGTTGTCTGCTTCTACACTCAACGTATTCTGCTCAAGAGCTTTTCCGAAAAGGCCACCAAAGCCCAAGATGAATGTAGTAAATTAGCCGCGGAGGCTGTATCAAACATACGAACCATCACAGCCTTCTCATCACAAGAACGGATCATAAAACTACTAAAAAAGGTTCAAGAAGGTCCTCGTAAAGAAAGTGTCTACCAATCATGGTTAGCAGGGATTGTGTTGGGGACTTCTAGAAGCCTTATAACGTGTACTTCGGCTTTGAATTTTTGGTATGGTAGTAGACTAATCGCTGATAGGAAGATGGTGTCAAAAGCATTCTTTGAGATATTTATGATCTTTGTGACTACGGGTCGGGTTATTGCTGATGCTGGAACCATGACGACAGATATAGCCAAGGGATTGGATGCAGTTGGGTCAGTGTTTGCAGTGTTAGATCGTTGTACGACCATTGAGCCAGAGGACCCAAGTGGATACGTCCCCGAAAAAATAAAAGGACAAATTACATTTCTTAATGTGGACTTCTCTTACCCAACACGACCTGATGTGGTTATATTCGAGAACTTTTCCATTGAGATCGAGGAGGGGAAGTCAACAGCGATAGTAGGTCCAAGCGGGTCAGGTAAATCCACAATAATTGGCTTGATTGAGCGGTTCTATGATCCGTTAAAAGGTATTGTGAAAATTGATGGCCGCGATATAAGGTCGTATCATCTAAGATCGCTTCGTAAGTACATATCTTTGGTTAGCCAAGAGCCAATGTTATTCGCTGGGACGATCCGAGAGAACATTATGTACGGAGGAACATCTGACAAGATCGACGAGTCGGAGATTATCGAGGCAGCAAGGGCAGCGAACGCTCATGATTTCATCACATCACTATCTAACGGGTATGACACAAACTGTGGAGACAAAGGAGTACAATTGTCTGGTGGTCAAAAACAGAGGATCGCAATTGCTCGAGCAGTTTTGAAGAATCCATCGGTATTGCTCCTTGATGAAGCTACTAGCGCTCTAGATAGCAAATCAGAGCATGTGGTGCAGGACGCGCTTGAGCGTGTAATGGTTGGAAGGACGAGCATTATGATCGCACATAGGCTTAGCACAATCCAAAACTGTGACATGATCGTTGTTTTAGACAAAGGGAAAATTATCGAATGTGGTAACCATTCTTCCTTGTTGGGAAAGGGTCCAACAGGCGCTTATTTCTCATTGGCCAGTATCCAGAGAACTCTCAGTTGAAAGTCAGATGTGTATAAAATACTCTCTTTCTCATGGAAACAAAAGTACTGTAAATGACTGTTTAAAGTTGCTATGAGTTAACACATTTCCCAGTTGAATTGTTATTGGTCCCATGCTAATAAAAATAATTGTAGCTCCTCGAGGTGTTTTCGTTTTGTCTATGAAACAGAAAAGAAGGAGAGTTGGTGAAAGAACATGGAGAATAGGGACAACATAAAAAGCGGATGATGTGGATTGGGTACTAATGGGGTTAGGTTTCAATCGGATTAAGTGTTCAGGAAATAGTGTAAGGGCCTCTCGAGTGACAGTGTGATAAAAACCGATAGCAGTTATATAGGTTGAGAAATGTTTGAATAATGGGGAATCCAGCCGCTCTGCTCCATATATCAATAGGCCAAAGTCCTAAATCCGATCAACATCTGATCTCTCTAGTTTCGCCGAAAAAAGTTCGTTGACGTTTTCATAAAAATATTTTGGTGTTGATAAAATATAAATCTTTCCAAAGAGGAGAAGATTTTGGTGTTGATGAATCTCTGCAAAGAGGAAATAGTGCGTTGTCGTTCTTGATCGATCGATGGTATCATAATAGCAGCCAAAGCAAGTGTTCCAATTAGTTTGCATAGGTTCCTATCTGAGCTATATTGAACTTTGGGATGTGTTTCCAAGGACTTGGAATGTAAGGAGGAAGTTCTCATTTTGGAAGTCTTGCATTGGCTTTATATGAGTGGTTTAATATCAAGAACGTGGCTGATATGTACCTATACCTTCCCAGTTGAGTTGTTATTGGATTTGTTAGTTGTTAATGTAAGGAAAACCATAGCTAATTGTTTGTACTTTTAAAACCGGTGACCGTGACTAGGGAGTTGGGACTACTGTTGTTAGCTTCATCATTGCATATTTAGTAAAATTTCTAGACAAGTTTGTTTTTTTAAATCCAGAGAGGTGAAAGTAAATGTCTTACCATCTTGAGACCCAAGTAAATCAATCTTACCTCAAGCAACCACAAGATTGGCTTTTATCTAAGACACCTCCATATCCTGCAAAATATAATAATGTTTTAAACATGACAGCTTGCAGGAAAAATATCAAATAGAAACGAAAAGCTCAGTCTACTGTATTCAGAAAAATTTGAGAGTACAATATAGTCATGTTGAAAGATACTACTCTTTCACAACTAAGAGAAAGCCTGTTCTCTGATCATCATCATTTTCTTCAATATTGTAAGAAAATGTAGAAGTCGAAGTGACAAAATTCGAAAGTTAGACATAACGCTTCTTGACATCTTAGCTCCCTAAACAAGCTACAACACATGTCTACATTCGTTCAGGGTGAGGACTCCAGCTAAAATGAAGCAGAACATATATACCGATATACGGAGTCTTTTCTTGACAATACGGTTAACGAAGCACTATCAGTAAAAATTGGATGATCAATAGAGTACAAAAGTCTATTTATGAGATAGACATACTTGATCTCCCTGAAGAAGTAAGTTCAAGACTTCCAAATTTTCTGCCTGGCAATGTTGGCATCGGCATCTCTTTTGCAGCTCCTCCCCAAGTGAAGCGAATGTTTGTTCCAACTCAGAAGCCTGCTTGTTTTCTGTCAAGGAAACTATTCTTTTGAAAGAATGGCAAATCAGAAAGGAAAGGTACAAGCACTGGCTTGCTTTATTAAAAAACAGAATGGCTGGCTGCAGAGTGCAGGCCGTATTAAAAAACAGAAATAGTTGATGTGAATGTGATAAATGATTACTGCGACCGTAGTTATCAGTTAATAAATCATGCTTCACCAGCTAATGGGATTAAAGGATATCTAGCGAGAACTTGCACTGAATTCGTTTTGTCTGTTATGGCCTCCATGAGTGACATTTTCTTCTCATAGTCATCGAGCTCCTTCTGCAGCTACAGATAGGAACACCGAATTATCAATCCCAATTTGTTCTCCTCATAGAATGATTAAACAACAATCTAAAACAGGGAATGGATAAGCTAGCAAAAGGTATTTGAAGCAGCAAAGTTTACAAATTGACTCCTATATTTCCATTTTACCTGTTCTTGTATCTTCTTCTCCGCCAGGTATCCTTCTTCCTCTTTTGCTAATTGAGAACTTACATCAGATAGCATTCCCTTGATAGCTTCTGAATCCGCTCCAGAACTATCCTCAAAAGCTTTGACATCTGCAATTATGAAACATATCCAAAAGCCATAATCTCTTAATAAACAGTGAAAAATAAAACAAGAAGAGTAAACTGCAAACATTAGCTACTCACTTGGTGTTATGCCAGTACTATCATCATTGCCAAAAGTCGAATCTACTGTTTTCTGGAACTCCCTATTACCAACCAAGCAACTTAAGATGAGCTGCAACAGCATACGATGAAAACGCAAAGAAAAGAAAATAACCTTATCTCCTTGTTCAGTTCTTCCATTTGGCTTATAAACTGATCTCTGTATACCACAAAAAAAGAATAAGCAATTTAACAAACATAACCTGAGTATACTTCAAGAACTAGACCTTATTAAGATGTTAGAAAGATCAAAATCACCTGAGAAATCCTTCCTTGTTCTTTATTTCGCCAACAATCAAGTCATCAACAAAAATTCCAGAATATCAAACGAAGATATCAACCAACCATATATAAGCACTAAAAACTCAAATAAACAATGTGTAGCTAAACCTTAAGAGCATCAACTTCACTGCCAACAGTAGAAACTTCATCCTGAAGAAGACTAATCCTTGCCTGAAAAAAAGGCACAGTTTCAATACAAATCACTCCATAGAGAACTAGCATCACATAAACTTCTTAATCATCCAAAAATCAAGTGAAAAAGCACAGTTCAATTCGTGATTAGGCAATCCAAAACTTGTTAATCATCCCAAAAACCAAGTAAAATCAAAGCAAATCAAAACCTCCAGAGATTGAATCGTAGCATCGTTCAAAGACAATTCAACTTCGTAACCATTAAGCTCCTCTTCCGCCACTTCTTTGATACGCTTCGCATTCTCAACTTCTGAATTCGCTGCTTCGATTTCCGATTGCAAAATCTCGATCCTCTTCTTCAATCCAACAACTCTTTGCTCTTAATTCAAAAAATCACCAACAATCAAAACCACATGAAGATCGAATCGCATAAAACTAACGCCTATAACTCAAAATAACCAAAAATGCATATCATCTTCTTCAAAATCTGTTCGATTTTGTTTCGAATTTCTACAAAACATCTTCCGATTTCTTCTTCGTCGCGAAATCTCCAGAAAACGAACAAAAATGTATGAAGATCTTACCTCCGCGAGATCTTTCAGATGTGAAATCGCGGATCAGAGAGAGAAGCTGCTTCTGTGTATCGATTCCCGCCATGGTTTCTTCGTGTGTTCAAGCTTCTCTCTACTGAAAAAAATCTCAGTACCTTTCTAAAACTGTTGGCGTCTTTGTGAGACGCGAAATAATTACATATGCCGGCCCATGTTGATAGAGGCCCAAACTATTTAGCCCAAATATCGTGAGGATATTAAATTCGGTGCTTTTAAGTAATTTAAGAACTTGTAGTTAGAGGCGATTCAGAGCGAAAAGGAGGAATTTGATGTATTTTCATTATCTTTAGTTTCTCAAAATGTAAATGTGAAAGCGGATAAACTGGCTCGAACGGTTCGTATCCAGCCGCATCTTATCACTTTATGTAAACAATTTTCCACAAAATTGGCTTATTTGAGCCAATATAATATAGCTGTTGACAAAAAAAAAAGAACTTGTAAATAAAATTCGATAATGCTGTTAAAAGAAAAAATCGATAATTTTTAAAGTTTTATTTCCCCAAACGGATAATTTTGTGTTATTTTTATTGAGGAAACCAGAGATCGATTGAGATCGACGGTCGAGATGAGAAGCCCAAGAATAAGGAAATCATGAAGATCTAAAAGGATCTAAAAGATCATGATATTTGTTAATATCTTAATTTAGGATATTTACCATTATATTATCTCTAAATATATTATTTATATTTATATTTATCTTAAATTAGAAAACTTAGATCAATCTCATCTCTATATAAGAGAATGTATTTTGTAGAATAATTCTTAAGAGAGTCTATTATAATTCTTCCTAAACACTTTTGTGTTCTTTACTCTCATCAATTTATCATGCAGAATAAACAAAAGTTTCTAAATCTTACTCCCTCCGTTTTTTATTAATCCAAATTCTAGAAAGAAAAAATTTGATGCAAGAAAATACAAATTTTAGGTTTTCTATTCATTTTAATTAGTTATTAATGATGAATTACACACTTCAAAAAAAAAAAAAAACTGAATACTTTTGGTTTAAATATGTGGAAAATTGTTTTGTTTTTCTTTTTTTTTGTCAATGAGTTGTGTAAAACTGTTGACCACAAAAAAATTATGCATTTATAATCTATTTTAATATGTGTGAAAATTCTAAATATATGTTCTTAAATCTTAATATCTGTGAAAACATGGAATTTAGATTATTAAGGAGCAGAGAGAGTATACTCCATCCGTTCTTTAATAAGTGATGTTTTAAGCTTCTAATTTTGTTCTTAAATAGATTATGTTTTCAGTGTTCAATGCAAAATTAATTATTTTTTTATTGGTTGATTAGATAATAAATGATGTTTTAGTTTAGAAATACACAAAAATAAATGATTTCTTAATCGATGTGCATTCTACTAAAACATCACTTATAAAAGAACGGAGGGAATATAATATAGAGTCTAGTTTGTTTGGTCCAAGTAGGATTTATAGTCGGTCTTAAAGTAAGATTCAATTTGAGATGGGTTGACAGAAACCATAACTCAAGAGCGTATGGTTCGAATTTAACATAGAAAATTAGAACCGTGTTCTAAAGTAATTTATAAAAGATTCATTCATCGACAATTAATTTTGTGTTAAAATCCCATATAACTTTACTATGATAAAACGGCAGAAAAATGTTGAATTTCCCTACGTCTTGTCCGTGAATGACAACTTGAAAACATGATCATACAAGTCATGTTCACACAAACGAATTATAGAGAGTGGATGAGGAAGGTAAAAAATGACATTTGCGCGAAGAAGAAAGTAGAAACTAGGTTTAGTCAACGAATTAGTAAAAAGTCCTGAGGGAGGTCTTGGATGATGGGGAAGATTGCTTAACGGCGAACGTTATGGTTATGTCATAGATTATAATACCATTGAACATCAACTTCGAACGACCATAACACATCGAGAGATAAACAAGGCGCACAGGGATATATAGTCTCAAAGCTTTTGTCAAACGTCGCTCATGCTCACTCTATATTTCACTAAAGAAAAAACTATACATATTGGACAAAAACCAAAGATTTTAAAGTGCTATGGAATGCATAAACCCCACAAAACTATAATGTACATATATGTGTTCCACTATCTATCGTCCAATGATGTAGCGAGATATTTGGAATATTTCCAAATATCATTTATTATTATACTTTATTTAGTTTTGTGAAACACGAGCTCTGATACCAACTGAAGTAGCGGAAGCTTCTAAGGATAAAACTAGAGATCCGTAATCTTTAGTAGCAGGATAAATTACGAAATGTGTATATACAACCATACGAAAAAAGGCCAAACAAAAGACTTGATGGGACTGTTCTTGGAGAATCTGTGAAAAAATAAATTTACATAGGATTCACATAGAAGCCACATCGATTCCACCATCTGAATGTTTTTTTTTTTCGATGCTAGGACTTAATTATTACGAAATTGACTATTGTAAAATATATAATGGACAACACGTCGAAATGATTAAACGTCTCCTCAAATAAACTTTGTTGGACATTGTTATTACTCGCCAAAAAAGGTTTATATTTTCTTTCTTATTTCATGTCAAACAAGAGAATGTGCTATATAGCACGCACACAGAAAGGAAAGAAAAGACGAAACAGAAATCATGATCAAATAAGCCCTATCGGGAACTTGCTTAAAAATAAGAAAGAGCAATCTCACTACAAGAAAACACGGTATTAGCGACTTAATTCGGCGACTGAATATGTAGTCGTTAAATTTGGCGACTAATTAGGGACGTATTAGCGACTAAGTAGTCTATATTAAACATTAGTCACTAATCAGTCTTTAATGTGAGACTGATTAACGTAGTCGCTAATAGGTCGCCAGTTACAGCTACTATTTAGCGACTCATTTATTTTATTTGGGCAATTAATTGGGATTTTACGGGCTTGATCCAGTAATTTTAGCCCATTAAGCCAGAGTATATAAACTCGGAGTCGCGAAACCCTAACCCTAATCCCCTTTTCTTCTCTCTCGACGAACCCGACGAACCCTAACCCTATTCCCCTTTCCTTCTCTCTCGATTCGATCCTAATTCTTCATCAATCCTCTCAATCTCTCCATTGAACGCTTGAATGATGAAGACTCGTGGTGGAAAAGGCAAGAGAGGAAGGGGATCGAAGATTCCCCCCAAAATCGACCCACTTCTTCCCAGCCTGTAGGAGTTGAATCGAAGACTTTGAATCGAAGACCTAGGGGTCTTCCCAGCCAGTACGAGTTCACGCCGGCGAATCGTCAAGCCCCACTTCAAGATTCTGAACAAGAGCCGATTGCACAACCTCCAACGGGTCCAACCATCAGGGACTATCCTCCTCCGACGCAACTTTTCCAGTCAGGCGAAGGATCTCCTCGCGGATCTGGCTCGACTCCATTTCGAGCATCCGGATCGACTCAACCTAGATCTGGAGGATCTGTTCATCGTCTAGCCTCCAATCAGTCTCCAGCGCCGGTTCAACGGGAAGCTTACAATCAGTCTCCAGCGCCGGTTCAACGGGAAGCCTCTAATCAGTCTCCAGCACCGGTTCAACCGGAAGCCTCCAATCCTCCACCTCGGCAGGCGTCAAATCCTCCACCTCGAGCCTCTGTATCACATCACAGCTCTCAAGCTCAAAACTCACATGCGGAAGAAGATGAAGATGAGGAAGCTGAGGCTGATTATGAAAGGGAATCAACTCTCCCTGAAGATTCGCTTGCTACTCTCCATGAGTTGCTTCTCCGGCCAGGACGTGAGAAGTATACAACGGTCATCTCTCCCACATTTGAGCCTGAAACCTATTGGTAAGCTGAGTAGATTAGGTTTAGGGTTAATATTGAGTAATGTGTGTGTGTATCTGCTAAGTAGATTAGGTGTGTATATGGTAAGCTGAGTATATTAGGTTTAGGGTTAATATTGAGTAATATGTGTGTGTATGGTAAGCTGAGTAGATTAGGATTATGTGTGTATAAAGCTTGCTAATTGGTTTATGTAATTGTAGGTTTGGTCACGACAATGGTAAGCTGACTCGGAAGATCACAAAGGTATTCACAAACAAGTTTAATGGGCCATATTACAATTGGAGCTGTGTACCTACTGAAAGAAGACACAAATACTTCCTCAAATTCGCGGTAAATTAACTTCTATTGTCTGTATCCATTTGGTTTGGTTTGGTTGTTTGATCACTAACATCAAACTCTCCTCTTGTTTTGTAGAAAACACACACATGGCATCCATCACTGACCGGTGTAATTGAAGAGAAATTCTACAAAATATGTCAGCTGCGTATGAAGGACATGGTTTCTAAGGCTTGCTCAAAACGAGCCACTGAGAGACCGCCATGGATTGAGAAGACATTGTGGAAGGAAATGTGTGAGTATTGGGACACAGAAGAAGCACTTGCCAAGAGTTCAACCACATCAGCAGCTCGAATGTCTGACCGTAATGGTCTTGGTCCTCACAAGCATGTATCGGGGCCAAAGTCTTTCTTACAAATCGAGCAAGAGATGGTAAGTTACATCAAGCACTCTTGTTTATTTACATAATGGTTTTCCTTAAGAATTTGAATTTTTTTGTGAACAACATTTCAGGAAATTGAGCTGGGAAGACCACCTACTATTGGTGAGATATTCATTAGGACTCATACCAAAAAAGATGGGAGTTTTGTTGATAGGAAGGCGCAGGAAATTCATGAGGCATATTTGAAGAACAAGGAAGCTAAGTTGGCTGCCCTTGTGAATGATGAAGGGTCTGATGGTACATCCCGTCGATCAGAACTATCTCAAGAGGAGGATGATGAGATCTTCCTTCTGGTAATGTGGTTGATCCTCTCTTTTTTTATTATTATCACTTACTTCATCTTTTAAGAACTAATCCTCTTATCTTTTTTTGCAGTCAACTGTCACAAACGAGAGAGGGGTATACTTCGGAATGGGAAGCTTAGGGAGGTACATCAATGGGAAGCGGAAGTACCCAGGAAGCAGTTCTGCTTTCACTTCCTTGCAGTCACAGCTTGAGGAAGCCAACCGCAAGATAGAAGAACAAGCGACTCTCCAAGCACATCGGGAGGCAGAGGCATCGCGGGTGAAAGCTGAGCAAGCAGAGATCAAGCGTGTTACTAATGAGCAACA